AGCGCTTCCTCCTGTGAGCAAAGATGGCGGGAAAATGGATCCAAGGGTCGGAGGAGATGCAGAAATGGGATAGAGTGTGGGGGAGGTGACAGGGAGCAGAATAGAAGCAGAAACACAAGAAGAGAAGGAAGACAGGTTAGAAGGCGACAGTGAGCCAGCGTGAATGCTCTGGTCCCCTTCCATCTCCCCCATCTGTCTTTCAAAGATCCTTTTGAGCAAATCCTGGGCTTCCAGGTGCTGGACAGCATCGAAAAGGACCAGAGGAAGGCACCTTCACCCTCAGTGACTCTTAATTTGATCCGTTAAGGAGAACAATCTAGAAACTACACCTCCAATAAATGTGCCTGCCCTTCACTGTGTCCTACCTCCCATCCTTCCCAGAGACTAGAGGAGGCAGCTGGCCTTGCAGAAAGGAGACACTGGGCTGTCCACACCAGCAGGACATCAGAGTCACTTGGGGCTTAGAAAAAGTCTGTGCCCTGGCCAACTGGATCTCTGGGTGGGACCTATGCACCAGAGTTTTTCAAAGCTCCTGAGTGGTTCTGCTCAGCCGTTGCAAACACTGCTCTAAAGCTTTCAATGATTCCCCGGGTCACCTACTAACACCGGGAGTGCCAAGGTTTTCCCACCACAACATCCCAATCTCTTCAACAGAAGAGTTAATGACTAATGAGATTGGGAGTCCTAATTCTCTTTCTACAGGAGAAAATATAATGAACCATCCAACATCCTATCAGCAACAGCTCATTGCCACCAGGGAGCCAGAGGTAGGTGAGGCACAGGTTGGTCTCCGCCACCACTGAGCAGGGTGATTCGGCCTTTTCCCACCTCTGTGCCTCAGTTTCCCTCCTGCAGAATGGAGCTATAATTCCTTCAGAGTGAAGACAATTGTCAGGATGTGGGGACTTCGAATTTATTAGAGAACAGGTAATCCTGAAATGTGGAATAAGAATGTGATTTTAAATATAGATGGGAAAGAGTTTAGAAACTGAAAACATACATCCTCGCGGCTACTCATGTAAGGAAGGGAAGCTCACTCCATTTATCATTTATCTATTTATCTGTCTATCTATCTATCTATCCATCCACCCATCCATCTACTTTTTCTTTCTAGTCCTTGCTGGGCAAGGAATGGGGACACCACTCACAAGCATCTCATAGTGTCCACTGTCATCTCTCAGATCCTAAAAAAAACGACCTCACCCACTGAAGAGTAACATTCTTCTCTACTCCCTCAAGATTCTTAACAATTTTCCTCTCCCAGACACTTCAAAACACCACCACAGACAGGCAGACAGAGACATTCTTTGAGTGGTTTCTAAAAGAATTTTTTGGCTTCCATTTAAAATATTCATCAGATTAAATAAAAACAAGCAAAGTGCTTTCACAGAACTATTTTCCATGAAGCTGCATCACAGGGATAATTTTTTTAAAGAAGTGTCTGAGGTAGACACCTCTAACCCTGGGCCTTGGGTAGAGTTGGCCACAGCCGTCACTCCTCTGGAACCTGTGCCCAGGTATGTTTGTGGATGTGTGGGCAGACAGGCAGGGCCTGGTGTGAGCAGAACCGAAACGGTCCCCCTCCCAGCAGCACGCAGGCTGGTCTGGGACCCCTGCCGGTGCGCGTGCCTTCTCCAGGAACTTCAGAGGGTGCAGAAAGTTTAAAGCCTGCATCCGGAACAAGAGGTGCCGTTGCCCACACTCTGCCTTACAATAAACATCGTTTAAAAGTCCCTCCAGAGTCCTGCCTTGGCCGCCTCTCAGATCTGGGTGTCCAAGAGTGAGTCATGTCCAACTGACCCTGGGAGCAGGAGGCAGAAGTGCAGGGCCTGGGCTTCAGGTGCTTCTCTACCAGCCCTGCCCTGAAAGCCCAGCAGCCCCACAGGCAGAGCAAAGGCACTGGTGGGGCTCTCCTTCCCAAGCTGTCTCCCCATTGGCTCAGAAACCCTACCATGGAGCACCACTTGGGAGGCTGAGGCAGGAGGATTGCAAGTTGGAGGCCAGCCTGGGCAACTTAGTAAGGCCCTAAGTAATTTGAGGAGGCTCTGTCTCAAAAAAAAAAAAAAAAAAAAGTCTGGATGGAGCTCAGTGGTAAAGCACCCCTAGGTTCAATCCCTAGTACAAAAACAAACAAACAAGTAAATAAATAAAAGAAAGGAAGAAAAACTCTACCATGGCAAAACATTTCTGGGTATGACACTGCACAGCTTCCTTGGACCCTCCTCCTGCAAGAGCACGCTTTGGCTGCAGGAACCTTCCAAGGATGCCCTGCTGGAGGCCCAGGGTTCACACAGTGAGGGAGGCAGGCCGTTCACGCCACCGAGCACCAGGCCCCATCCTCTATGGATGCTCCTGGGGATGTCAGCTCCGCATGCCTCCAGGGGGCTGTGAGAGCTACTTCTCTTAGAGCTGGTCCTGCCCTTCCTGCCCTAGTCAACCAGAAGAGGTTGACTCTTCTTGGAAATTTTCCAGTGCACCCTGGCTCCCTCCACTCCCACCCCAGGGCAGGATGTTGCTAACTGCAGAGCGAGGTGGTTGAAATCGAGAAATCAATTAATGCGTCCTCAGACAAGACCCTGCCTTACACGCAGGACATTTGTAGATCACAGGGCCATCCCACCCCACTCCCCACATGCCTCTTGGGTCAAAGCCACGCCCTCCACCACCCTTTGGTTCTTCCTTGGGGATTTGGAGATTGGCGCTTGATGGGTGAGCGGGTTCAGCACCCCCCTCGGCCACAACCCCCTCTCCTGTTGGGTTCGCCCTCTGCCTCACTCAGTCCCGTGCTCACAGCTGTACCTTCCTGCCAGCTCCTGCACCTTTCACCCTTAACCTCAAACCCCGCACTCAGGGTCAGCCCGCCTAGCTGCCAGCTCACTGCCTCGGGCACCAGAACTCCAGCAAGTCCTCAGCTGGCGAGGACTCCAGTCCACTGACCCGTCACCTTTCAGCATCCACTGTCTGGCTTGGTGCCCGCCCGGCTTCTCGCCTGGCAGGACATCCAGCTGGTCACCACTGTCACTCTCCCCTGTCCCTTACCTTTCTCCCTCCTGTGTTCCCTAAGAAAGCTCCGTCCTGGGTCAAGGTCAAGTTCAGAACTCTGCCCCTGAACTGTCCTGTCATTTTAGGTGCATGGCCTGCAGGATGAGCTGCTGGGGACACAGAGAAGGCAGGCCCCAGCTACACGCCTCTCCCGGCGCATTCCCAGCCCCTTGCACACTGCTTTTGAAACTCCTGGGGGACCTCACTCCCCCCAATACCACCGCGTTTCCAGCTGGGCACCTCCAAACAGTGGTTCGACAGGCCTTGTCTCCTCCCCATCTCCTGCTCACCCCCAAGCCAACCCCAGCCAGACTGTGTCTCCACCGCTCCACGGGGACCTCTCCAGTTGCCACCAGCCCTCCCCTTACGCTGGCTGGCAGCAGTGTTCCCAGCACCCAACCTCGCTGCTTCCCCGAACACCTCCTTCCCTCATCCTTCACCACTCCACTCCCCCGGGTGTCCTCCAGGCTCCTGGGACTCTCTGGGGCTCCTCCGCGTAATCCTTCTTTGCAGTTGTTGGGTGTCTCCAGGGCTCAGCCCTGCGCAGCCTGCCTCTCTGCCCTGCACCCAGCTTTCCTCTCCCTCTGCCTCAGCATGCCCGCCCCCTGGCCGGACGCCTCCTCTTCCAGTCCAGCCTTGGCATATGCTGTTCCTTCTGTCCCTAGTGCTTCCCCCCAGGGACCTGCTCGGCCCTTTCCTCCTCCAGTGAAATGGTCTCTGGCTGCTCTAATTAAAATCCCAAACCCTCCTGCTCTTCCTCACCACCACCCCTCTTCCATCCTTAGGGTGGCAAGGATCACCCTGCACTGGATCCTAAGTTCCATGAGGACAGAGCTCTTTGCAGTTTTGTTCACTCCTGGACACCAGGAGTGTCCTATGGAGCCCAGGATGGGCACTCCATGTACCCCCGCGGGCCAGGCAATGAGCAGGTGACAGGCTTACAGACGTGAGATTTAGAACCCTCAAGGGCACAGAGGGAAACATCACCTCTATTTCTATTTCTCCCACAAGGCTATTTTCTGCCCCCTTCTCCCAGGTCTGAACCCAAGGAAAGCCAGGGGTCCATTCTGGCTTTCTAAGAAGCTGGAGGGCTGAAAACTTCCTCCCCACTGAAAGAGAGAGAGAGAGAGAGAGAGAGAGAGAGAGAGAGAGAGAGAGAGAGAGAGAAAGCGTACCAGGTGGTTGCATTTGGCTTTTCTCCAGAGCAGGGCTTGCCACTGGGTGCCCAAGGTCACATAAGCAACTAGAAGCAAATCTGGAATCAACTCTAGAAAATATCTACAGGGGATTTATTAGACAAAGAGACATGGGATACACATTTATACTTTATTCAGGAGAACTCAAGACTTCCAAATCTTGGCCCACAATCTTTCAACTGAAGTCAATTCCTATCCAAGGTCAGGGCTGCAAAAGACTGGCCCAGGAAGGGCAAGTGCCACCTGACATTCTGGTCAGAAGGCCTGTGCCTCTGACTACATAAGACACGTGGAACCCTGGGTGAGGGGCCCAGGACACTCACTTCTTAGGCTGCCAATATCTGCTTACATTTAAAATCAGAGAAAATGTCCACAAGGTTCAGCTCTCTGATGGTCCACACTGTAAATAACATACCATCTCCAGATCTCTTCTAGAATATGAGCTTGTAGAGAACAGGGAACAGTGCCCAGAAGATAATATGTGATCAATAAATTCATTTTCAAAGACTCATGCATCTGACTGGGCCTCAGTTGCCCATGGTCAGGAAGAGTAGAGGAGGGTTCAAGGGTTAAGCACGTACAGCCGGGGAGCAGGGGGCTTCTCACCTAGATCCCAAGGCCTCTCCTGTGGGATTCCAGGTTGGTTCCGGGTGGGACCAACCACACCTTGGCACTATAGGGTCAGGTGATGGACACTTCCTGGAATCAGGGTCCCCTGTATCACGCCATTGAGTTTGCCAAGTGCCCTTCCCCAGTGCTCACCTGGGAGATGTGGGACTGCGTCCTCTGGCTCTCAATGTCACCCTCCGTCTTGTCGGTCAGCAGCCCCTGCACCTGGTACTCCAGCACGTAGCTGTCGATGAAGCGCTCCAGCTCCTCGATTTCCTGGGATCGGCTGCTCCCAGCCTCCGAGGAGGCCGAGGCTGCCGACGAGTTCTCCATCCCTCCAGCTCAGGGGTGTGGGGCCGGCTGGAGGGAGACAGGAGAGACAGGCTGGTGAGAGGCTGCCGACTGAGCCCTGGAAGCCCCATCTCCTCCGTCCCAGCATTCGTCTCCCAATGGCTAGAAAAGCTGACAGGGTCCTGGCTTGTCTTCAGCTTTAAGAGCATCTGTGAGTTCCCACCATGTGGGGAGGGAAACTGAGGCCAGAGAGGGCAGGTAAGTGGCCCAGGCGGCCCGCACAGGAACTGCCGCCATGATGAGGTTGCTGTGCACCAGATCTACGGCCTGGGAAAGGCAGCAGAGAACCCAGACAGCCCCCAGGCCCTGGCGCCCCAATCAGACGTAACGAAATCCACCACAAAGCAGAATAAACAGACCACAGACCGGGTGTCCCTGATGATGTCCTCGCTAAGGAGGTGCAGGGGGTCCCCAGCCACAAACCAAAGCCCTCCAAGAACATGCCTCCTTCTAAAGAGACTTTCCCCCTCCCATCACTTTTCCCTGAATTAGTTGAAGCCCCCAGGCCTCAGGTTATCAGCAGTTTTCCAGCCTTGCTCCTGGGACGTCTGGAATGTGACTGACTTAAAGTGACAGAATGCAAATGGCCTGGGGCGGGGGTGGGGGGGGGGTGTTGTCTGTGCTGACGTGGCCAGTTGTGCTGGTGTGGAAGCTGCCTGGGCCACCCTCCAGGGGAGCAGGACCACCCCCACAGGCCTGTGGCGTGCTCTCTGGATGACATGATCGGCCGTTCCTGGGAAACCAGCTAAGTCCACCAATGACACTGCGGGCCCTCCTGATCAGGCTGGGCCAACCCAGCCCTGTGGGGGTCCGAGCCCTCCGGGACACCCCCACTGTCCTCTCTCACCCCTCGTCCCTGCAGTCAGAACTCACTCAGCTGGAAGTGAGGCAGCTAGAGTCCTCACCTCCAAGTAGGGGCCCTCCCCTTCCTCCACAGGCTCACAGCCACATGGGCAGGGCCTGAAATCTCATCTTGTGTCCCTTTTATTATCTGGAGACCTGTGATCTCCTTGGACAGCCTGCTCGGGGTTTCATCCCAACTCAGTGAAAGGTTCCCACCAAACCACCACCGCCCTGAGGAAACCAGGGCCTCCTGTGCTGAAAGGAACATTTGAATTTCAAATCCCTGGGTTCCCAAGCACATACACGTTGGTGGTGGTTGTTGGTATTGGGGATTGAAACTCAGGGGCACTCCACCACTGAGCACATCCCCAGCCCTATTTTGTATTTTATTTAGAGACAGGGTCTCACTGAGTTGCTTAGCGCCTCGCCATTGCTGAGGCTGGCTTTGAACTCTAGATCCTCCTGCCTCAGCTTCCTGAGCTGCTGGGATTATAGGCGTGCACCACTGCGCCCCCGGCCCCAAGCACATTTTGGAACAAAGCTATCAGCTAGTGGTCAAGAGCTGGTCGAGTGTTTAACTATGATGGATTGAAGTCAGGGCCCGGGAGTGCTGTGGAGACTGGCTCTGGACCCCCACACCCTCCCCAGCCTTCCCAAAGGGTGCTGGAGATGGGGACAGAGAAGGGCCCAGGAGGTAAAGGACGCTGGGCTTCAGACTTATAGATCCAGGAGATCAGAAGCAGATACTGTTTTAAGCCGTCAAGGTTGCAGCGATTTGTTGTGTGGTGACAGAAGCCTCCTTCCTGCCTCTGTGCTATTTATCGCTCTGCACCCGGGGCACTTCCCCTTCCCCCCACTTTCCAAACCTAGCAGTCCTTGTACTCACGGAACGCTGCAGCAGGGCCCTACAGGCCATCTAGCAATGGGTCCAGTTCCCTGGTTTAAAGGCAGGCAAAAGATCCACCCTGCCACGGCCGTGGGCATGAATACCATGAGGTTTGGGGTTTTTTATTTTTTGGTACCAGGGATTGAACCCAGGGGTGCTTAACCACAGAGCCACACCCCCATCCTTTTTGTATTTTATTTAGGGACAGAGTCTTGCCGAGTTGCTCAGGGCTTCGCTAAGTTGCTAGAGCTGGCTTTGAACTCAAGATCCTCCTGTCAGCCTCCTGGGCCACTGGTATTACAGGCACGTGCCACCGCGCCTCGCTGAATACCGTGAGTTCTAATAACTGGAACGCAAGTGTTCACTGCACCTGTATGGCGTGGCAGAGACTCTTCTCAGCACTTCATAAGCTCCACACATCTCACCCTCACCACGGCACTGAGAAACGGGCTTGATTGTATTACTTAGAAGAGGGAGGGAAGGCTCTGCAAGGTCAAGGCATTTGCCCAAGTGCACACAGCAGGCTCCAGCTCAGCACAAAGGGACCTGCAGTATAGGCTCAGAGCCCGTCCTGAGCAGGTGGCCTGAGCTGGACGGGAATGATAAGGCTGATGTCCAGACAGGGCTGAAAAGGAGCCACCTGCAGGCAAAGTCCTTCTCTAAGGTCATGCCAATTATTCCTCGAAGGCTTCAGATTTTATCTAGGGCTTCCTGGCACACCTGACAATGGACATGTTTTGCAGAAACTCGACAGGCAGCGGCTTCCGGGAGGTAGACGCTGGGCTCTGCTGCAGCGGCAGCCTCTGGCCTGCACTGGTGGACTCTCTCGGGGGTGACTGAGTCGTAGGGCCACCCCACAGTGATGTGAGGGAGCCTGGGAATGGAAATGACTCCAAATCCACAGGAGCTCGCTGAGCAGAGAGAGGGGCAAGCACCGAGAGCCATCCCAACCCCACAGCATTTGGTGGCCAGAAGGCAAAAGAAGACTCCCTGCCATGGGCCCCTCTGGCATCCCCCTGTCTTCCCAGCCCCTCCTCCTCCACCAGCCACTGCTGCCCGATCAGATTCAAGCAATGTGCGGTGTGGCTAGCAACGCCTGGCCTCAGGACTCCAGTGCCCCCTGCCCAGGGCTCCTGTGACAGGAAACACCCTCAGTACCTCACCTGGCCCCTGCGACCCGCAAGAGTAAGGAGCTAACACCCCACGTGGCAGCCCTCAATCTGGACAAACCTGCCATTTTGGGTCTCAGACAACTCAGCAAGGTCAAGGCATTTGCCCAAGTGCACATTCCATTTGGTCCTTCAAGGGATTGGAGTAGGTGGCGCCCCAGTTGCCCACGGTGGTGACCAAACCCACAGCACCCCTCACTTCCTTCCCTCCTCTCCTTCCTCCTCTCTCCCAGCTCCTGGAGCCCCCCTGTACACTCTACAGAGGGTCCCTGCAGTAAGCTAAGGCCCTTCCTTCAGAAGGGGTTGGCGAACGTTCAAAGCAGAAAAGTCCCAGGCTGTTCCTCTTCTGCAGGAGAAGAGGAACAGAGGGCCAGAGTGGCAGGAGGAAGTTGGGCCAGGCACGGATGCTCTCGCTGCCCCGGGGTGTTTCCACTGGCTGGTGAACACAGTAGTACAACACTGTTGTACACACTTTCCACGATTATCCCCTCAGTCCTCCATTAGCAGGTGTTGTGTGCTTCTGCATTTGGCTCTAGTGAACAGCTGCTATGGCTATGGGTGTGCAAATACCCGCCTGCGTCACCGTGTCCCACGCCTGGGGGCACATACCCACAAGTTCTACCACATTTTTAAGGCAAGAAGACTGAGGACGGACAGAGTGGCGTTTTCTCAGGTTAGTGGGGTGCCGGGGAAAGAGATGCTCTGGACAGCTGCCTTCCTGTCTGACCTCCGCCCTGGGGTCCATCCTGGCTCCGTTTGTCCTCCACACTCACAGGAAAGCCCCAAAGAGCCAGGTCGCTGGGACTGAGAGCCAGTGAGCAGGGACTTCTGTTTTAACACTCAGTGAAAGTGAAGGAGGTTGGGCCAGAGGAGGAGGGAAAAAGACAGAAAGCGGGCAGAGGACCAGGGAGACCTCTAATTGAGGCCACTCAGGATGCAGAGCACACGGGGGAGGCTGAACCCAGGACTCAGCCCTGCAGCATCCCCGGGCCCCTGCCTGCATTCCCTGCCAGGTGACGGATGGGGAAGGCCAGCAGCCAGCACTGGGAAAGCGCTGAGGTCGCTCTGCTGTAAAGGACACCATAGGGGGGCGGACAGCCCTGAGCAGGCAGGACAGGCTAGGGCTCCTGTGCTGGGGATTCCTGAGAGGCGAGGGCAGCCAGGCTTGGCTATCTGTGGCTATCTGGGGAGAAGGACAGTCACGCTGTCCTGTGGGGGTGGCACCTCTGTGTGTTAAGAGACCTCACCTGCTGGGGGTGGCACTCGCCTGTAACCCCAGCAGCTCTGGAGGCTCAGGTAGGAGGATCGCGAGTTCAAAGCCAGCCTCAGCAAAAGCGAGGTTCTAAGCAACTCAGTGAGACCCTGTCTCTAAATAAAATACAAAAAAGGGCTGGGGATGGGGCTCAGTGGTTGAGTGCCCCGAGTTCAATCCCCAGTACCATATATATAAAGAGAGAGAGAGAGAGAGAGAGAGAGAGATTTTAACTCAGCCCTGGGGCCCCCAGCCTCCTGCTGCAGCCAGTCACACTCCATGCCTGCCACTGCAGCCCGAAAGTCCAAAATGAAAAGCACCCATGTTCTCCAATGAAAGGCACTTCCCCCCCCCGCTCTCCACCACCCAGGCCCGCACAGCCCACCCTGAGCCACTCCCATGAGCCCAGAGCTGCCTGGCCTCCTTGGACCCAAAGCACAGGGGCAGGTCTCCCCCTGCAGCCTCCCCTCCGCCTGGCTCTGAGCTGGAGAGGCTCGCAGTGCCTGTGGGGCTGCTCTGGAGGAGAAGGTAGGGCAGACCTCAGGGAGCGGCCCCAGGGCCCAGGGACAATGCACGGCAGCCTTCCAGCCCTCTCAGCATCCTTTCCCACCTGCCTAGTGACAAATGGCATTAGGAGCTGTAAATTTAGCCAATCCTTTTAAGAACAGCCAGGCGTCAGAGGCATTACCTCCCGCTCCACTCCCCAGGGCTGGTTCGGTGACCTGCAAACCAGATGAGACTTGTCTGCTGGGCTGTCCGCCAGCCCTTCCCAGGAGCCCAGGGAGAGCCAGCCCTGACACCACCCCATTTCCTCACGGCCTTTGCCCTCTGCTCCTCAGCATCCCGCAGAACGCCCTTT